TGACGCATATGTATTTGGTGCCTACTTGTACCAATATCGATGTGTTGAAATAAATAAATAAAATAAACATTCGTTTCCAGATCTTTTCAGTTGTTATTCATCTTTTTCATATCTGCTTCTATTTCCCGATGTAATGTGTTTTTTGATCTTCCTCTTCTCCGTTTCCCTTCAGGATTGCAAGTTAAGGAGTTTGGTGACTTCCGTAATGACTTATTGAATAATTTTTCTTGATTAAATTAAAAGATAAAATCGGAAGTTAATGTACAGTTTGAATGACATTGATATCCTTGTTCGTTAAAATACTAAATAAATAACCTAGATAAAGATATGAACTAATTCATTGTTTCATTATAGTTAACATTGTATCATTTAAAAGAAATGTACACAAATTTTAATGAAATAATTTCTACTATGAACCTAAATAAAAGAAGAACTTTTCTTCCAAATATTGAAATATTTTATAATATGTATAAAGGAACATACAAATCCTGTGTATATTCGAATGTTACCTGTCAGTATTCCATTGAATTATCTTCAAACGATATCAATAATATAGTTGGTTGAGGTTTATGGTAAATAAAATATTCAAAACTGTTGTAATTAATTGCTATTGTACATGCAAAAATATTGATATTTTAATTATTAATTAGTTTATGTATAACAAATGGGATAATCATGTGATCTCGAATCTACTTCCCAAGATATATTTCACACAATGCTACTGTATATCACCCATACAAATGTAATGTAATTACATATTTGAATGAATGACATCTAAGTAACCGTTAAACGTATTGAAGTTATAAACTAATGGTTTACGTGCATTTAAGTCAGTCATATATATGTATATATAAATTCAAAACTATTTCCCTTAATTTGATTGGAGTGCTGTGCTAATTTGACTACCCTTTGTGCATAAAATATAATTAAAAGCTGAGTACACGATTTTGCATGTGTTAGCTGTGTCACACATACATAAGGAGTTGTTGACTAACCTTCACATTACTATTATGTAATAAATATAAAGCCTATGATAAAATGCCGAGTTTTTAATGGTCAGTAATCGAATTGAAATTGTGTATAATCAGAGTTTAAACTATACTCTATAATCTGACTGAATGGAGACCAGTTTCATAAACGTTCACACTCATCACCAAGACAATATCTATAGATATGAGTTGTTTGTACCTATATTCTTGATGGAACTAGTTCTCTGTTTTTAACTGACTGACCCATCAAGGAGCATCTATTCCTACAAGTTTACGGTCACACATTGCTGCCGATGACCAAACATCATGAACTCTTGGTTAAACAAGGTTTCCAGTCGAATATATCTAACTACCTTACAGCGATTATAATAATGTAGTGTTTTTAATAATTTTAAATCATATAGCCTAGAATAAAAGAAACGTTTGTCTTCTTGGTCCATCCTTTGGAAAAATTTCGATGATTAATCGAAATAGTTGAAGTTGTACTACTCAGAACTTTTAAATTTGCATCCTTTGTTCATCTTAAAAGGTTTCTTTAAAGACTTTAAATAATATCACTTGGCGTCATATCTTTTAATACATTGTATAATTAAGTATTGCCATTTTCATTGAGAGGATAAAATTACCAACTTTTTAAATCTAGTCACTTTATTAAACAGCAAAAAATGATACCGTTTAATGAACGGTTGACAGTTGGTTCCTATTCAAAACAAGAACCTTTTACAATTCTTAACAATTCTACTATATATATATATATATATTGAAGATGTGGTTCAGTTGAATGATAGATCTTCACCTATTCAGCAAACATAGATATACCTAGCTAAAAATAATCCCAGCGTGTAGTAATCAGCTTTCTACAAATTAATTTCAATTGAATAGTTAAAACTCTATAGCTTTCCAATCATTAATTACAATCGAGTCTAAAGTATTATGATTATATTTTCTTAACAGTAATTAGAAAAGTAATCTAGAATGTATGTTTCATTCTCATTTAAAAGTTGTTCTTTGTTGACATTTGAAGATGTATTAAGATAATATTCTGACAAAAAAATCTCCATAAGCATAGGCTAATTTATTTGAGTAAAAAAATAAGGATTAAACCCAACTCAATGACGAAACAGTTCATGCAAGTGACATAGATTCATATGTTATTAGAATATTTCCAGTATTTTACCAAGAAAATTGATCTTTGTCACGAGAAAAAAAAAGATGGTAGCCACTTTTGTTACATAAATACCCATTGAAAAAGAGAACAAACGAAAACAAAAAGTTATTTAACTAGTGAACTGATGTTTAAAATAAAACCCACTGTCAACAAGTCATGATAAGAAAACATGTATTGAAAGTTCAAATTAGGATTCTGAATGAAATTAAAAATCTACATAAAAATATTAAACAATAAACAAAAAGAACGAACTGACTAAATAAAAGTCGAATAACATAAGTTTAAGGGAAAAAACTGTGTTTCTTATAGTTTATATCATGAACTGAACTTAAGTTAGACAATCATAGAAAACAAGGTACCAATGAACAATTTTCTTGTCCTGATATAAAACTCCTTAAAAATATATATCTATGATTCCATGTGAGATCGAATTCTAGACTTTCGGTTTCACGGAGAGCATTTAACCTCTAAAATTTTGAATTGATATCGAGTGATATATATGACTAACTTCACAATATTGCACAATTATCTTAGATTGTCCTCTATGAGTAACCAGCTGAGTCACATCAAACTATTTTCTTAATTTATTTGATGTAAATTCAGCAATCACCAGAAGCCTTATATTATTCAAATGCTCACAGAAAAATTCATAAAGGGCTTCCGGATAATTTGTCATACTTAACTGATCTGCTAATAAAACCATCAATATACAATGAACAAGAATTCAGATGCAAAATTACCGGGTGTTTTCGTAAAATATGAAAACTATACATTAAATGAATGATTTTCCCATCATCCTTCAATTGTACTTTCCATGTTTCATGATTCTTTCATTTCTGTTGTTACTGTAATTGCTCTCTGTTTCTCTTCCTATTCTGTTCAATGTAATTTTCCCAATCTTCTGCTGATAGGCATTCCAATTCCGATTGCTGTTGCATGCTATTTTTTTTCAGAAGTAGCTTTTTGGGAAATCAACTCCAAATAGTTTTTCTTCGGAAAGTATGTAGACTAAAACGGAACAATAGTTTTACAAAAAAATTTGAATCAAGGGGAAGATAATGACTTCATCTCTGAGAATGTCTATTTTCCTTGTTGTAAGTTCTTATGAATTATTAGAATAGTTCCATTCAACTGCATATTGGATCTTGAATTCAAAGAGGTCGGCTATCTGGCAAGTAACAGTTCAGTACCCAAATATACAACAGTCTCTCGCTTTCGATTTTATTCATAATATTACTGTGTTTGTGATGAATGTTGAATTTTCATGATCTACGTCAACGATCGAATTTAATTAGACGACCACTGAAAACCAAAAACCACTGGATAATTTTTTCGTCTAAGTATCTGAGGCAGTATTGTATCTCAACATAAATAGAACATGATAATCATTGGATGCCCACTCAGTGTCTACAGTTTTGGTTTTCACTGCGAGACCTAAATGTTCAAGGTTAAATTCCTAGTGATATTATCGAAGCACATCGGTTGCTTAACTTAAATCAGCCTTTAATATAAATCATGTATAATATATAAGATTAGGCAAGGAAAACTTAACGAATTCCAGATATATTCATTCATAACTATTGCTGTTCTATATTTCTTCTATTTAAACAACATAGACGTGGTGTGAAGTCATTTCTTAATTAATACTTAAGTAAAACGAGATAAAAATCCATAAATATTACCTTCTAGGTGACTGATTTATTATATACTTAGTAACCATAAGAGATGGATAAACACGAAGTTAATCACATATACACATACATATAATTATACGTATTCACAAATTACCTAGTCAATATCCAATTTCTGGAAACAAATACATAAATTATCCGATGTTAAGCTTCAGTTTTACATACAGATAGACAAAACCAAAAATATATTATTTATGAAAGACAAACAGTTTCTTAACTAATACGGAAAAGAAAAATGTAGTACATGGTTTTTCAGATGAACTGGTAAAAGTTTTCTTGTTAATATTTTTACTTGACAACAGTGGAATATTGCTAATTGGCAAAATTTTCACAAAATGACTCATATGTATTCTGTATAAACCTATACATATGTTCAGATAGGGGTTTTATAGGTATTATAGTAATTCGATAGTTGAATTCATGAGTCGATTGAAGCTAGACCATAATGGAAAACTTGGAAGCATTAAACGGCCGTTTCGTCCTAGTATGGGACTTCTCAGCAGTATGCATCTACGATGTATATGTGCATATGTATAAAATATATTTACTCATCTACATATAAAGGAAATTAGATTCATAAATAATTTTCTCGATAACCATCCTCCCTTCCGCTCCCCGCACTTTTATCCATCTCCGTATTATGTCTAATAATTCTTTTCAGATTTCAGAAGCAGGAACTGTTTTCTAAATGAATGAATTTACATCATTGGAAGGGATTCTATAAGGATTTGTTACCGTTTGATTTTGCCAATGAATACTCTGTCATACCAACTATGTTATTTTAAAAAGAACAATAAGATCAACTAAGTACATGATTTTCCAGTAAGAGCTTAATAATTAGAAAATTGAAGAAATACGTTTGATAAATTTTCACAGTTGTCAGATTTGTGAATTTCGGATGCCTACAACGTACTCATGTTCACAGTACTTGATATTTTAATATAAATGTGGTTTATTATAGAGGAAATAACTTTCTAAGATTTTCCAGTTTTTGCTAATTCTTCAACTAATATCAATTCATAAGAGTAATCACAACTACAAACTATTCAGTTCATCCACTTGACTGAATATGTATCATTTTCTTGTGATTTCTCCATCTTATACCATAATTAATTTCTTTTATCTGTCTATTTAACTTTGTTCTATTAACAGATTTGGGCATCTGTTCTACTAGTATTAATGATTGCATCTGTAATGTGCTATTGTCTATCAACACATGATGTCTTTCGGACAAAATCCACTATTATGTTATCTACTGCACTTGAACTAAATTCAAATAGTAATAATAATATTTATAATAATAATAATAATGAAGAGAATAACTTGATGACTAAACAATTTCATACTGATCAAAAAACATCATATCCAACTTTTCTATCTACTACAACCAATACATTGAATACAATCACAGCTAAAGATAAACAATTTAATACAACATTTAATAATCCAATATCTATTTGTTATGATTCATTATGGCATCCAAATCCTAAAATACAAAAAGATTGTTCTACTGAACCATCGGAAGGATTAGTTACATTTGATATTTCATTAAATTGTTTATTTACCATTGAATTTCTGCTCAAAGTTTTACTTGCACCAGATAAACCAAAATTTCTTACATCTATTGTATCAGTATTTGATATGGTGATATTAAGTAGTTATTGGGTATATATGTCATTATTTTATTATTATTATTATTATCCTAAAACAACAATGACAAATAATGTTGAATTAAAAATTGAACTGAGTGGATATTTATGGCTATTGAATATTTTATCAATGACACAAGCATTACGTATATTACGTATATTTAAAATATCAAAAATATCCCGTGGATTAAGAGTACTTATATTGACAGTGAAAAAAAGTATACCAGAATTAGTTCTATTAGGTTTTCTATTAATGAATGGTATGTTTTTATTTTCTTCTATGATGTATATAGCTGAATATCGTGTAAATGATACATTTCCTGATATACCACAATCATTTTGGTGGTCAATTATCACTTTAACAGCTGTCGGTTATGGAGATATGCATCCAAAAGGTGGAGCTGGCTACTTTGTCGGTTCATTAACCGCTATATCTGGTTGTATTGTTACTGGATTAGCAATACCAATAGTTGGGAATAATTTTAATACATATTACAAATATATGAAAAATCAATTAATGGAAGATAAATACTTGAAAACATTACGTAAAGATATGGAAGCTACAGGTGGTGTCAGTGGGAATAAATCAGGTTTAGGTGTAGCTGCAGAAAAAGGCGGTTTACCATTGCCAGGTAGAAAACCGCGTAATATTAATCGACGTATAATACGTGGTAGTAAAAACAGTAAAAATGATACTATGAAAAGTAGTTTAGTAAATATGATGGAAATTTGTACACGATCTATAAAACGTTTATTACCAACAGGTTTAGTTAATAAAAATAATTGTAAACCAATTGGCGTGCCTAAAACTCAAACAACTGATTCTATGCAATTATTAACAGAAAATCAAAAACTTCCTAATGTATTCACTCGTAAAGCAACTATACATGAACTAAATGAAAGGAAGAATAGTTATAAAAATCAAAATAATATGTCCAGTAATAATTTAATGTCGTGTAAAAAGAAGTTGAGTAATGATAAATTAGATATTGAACATCGACCAAGTTTGATGTATCCATTAGCAACGGATCAGTTTCTCAATTCACTTCTACCTTCTCAGTTATCATTAATTCCAACACCTCAAATATGGGTAGATGGTGAAGAGTTTGATGATCAGTTGTCAGCTGCAAGTCATGTGTTTGATAATAATAGTAATAATAATAATCATAATAACAATAATATTAATACTATCAAGTCATCACAATCAATTTGTTCTACACCAGGTATAGAAACTACTGAAACAATTCAAAATCATCCTGATCATCATTATATTTATTCTCGTATGTCTATTGTTTCAGAGGAAATATTACCTAATTCTATACAGATTTCATCAGATATACCATGTTGCACAGTGTTGAATGTTTCCGATGTAATACAAAATGATGATAATATTATGTCCAGTGCTGAAGATGGTGATGATGAACAAGAAAATTCTAGTTGGGAAGTTAAAACAATGAAATCAGCAAATAAAATTCACATGAATTGTGAAATTAATACAATACCACGTAAATCTCCATCATTAACAATATCTACACTAAAAAATAATAATAATGAGGATAGCAACTATAGTAAAAAAGATAAAAATAATAATAACACAGATAATAAAAAAATTAAAAAACCAATTGCTAAGAGAATGAATTATGTATAAGTGTGTGATTCAATTTAGTCTGTTCATTAAATTTATCTTAATCTATCAATTAATTACTGACAGTGAAAACAACGTTATTCAATAATTCAACATTCTTTGAATACAAAGACTTACAAGTTTTAGGTGACTACTTTACAAAAATTCACAATCATTCATTGATGATCAATAAAGAAAGCATAGTTTCATAGTAATAATAATCTGTAAATTACAAATTAAAAAAAAGGTGATTATCATTATTGTTTTCATACGAATGGTTATTTTGAATGTAGATATTATTATTACTACTTTTAACAATTTTTTTTCTTCTGATAAAAGTGATAAATACTTCAATAATCATTTTCATTTAACTCAATTTTCTCTTTTCTTTCTTGTTTACTTCTGTTTATATATATCTCTATATACATATACATATATTTTTATGAAAGTTGTAATGAATAAGAATTAGATAATAATATGATAATCATAAAACTTTATGCAATAACAACAACTACTACTACAGTTAATACTAATACTACTGATTAAAATATTATTATAATATTCTACTAATAAAATTTAATAATGATTATAGTTATTTCCTGAAATGTAAAATTATTATTATATTTTCTTATCTGCTTTTAATTGTATGTTGTGTATTGCGATGTTTAAAAGATAATTTACACTATTTCAAAGAGTTATAATATATATATATATATATATATATGTTTTTCTTTTTTCTTTTTCTTCTTTTTCTTCTTTTTTTCTGTTTTCTTCTTTTTTTTCTCTTTTTTCTACTATCAACTATCAATAAGATAGTGTTAAATGTTCAATTGTAAGTAGATAGAAAATATTTCATTGATTGTTTAATGATGTAATTAACATTTTTAATTATTTATTTGGAAAAGAAAAAAGATAATAATACCTGTGAAAATGATTTTGTAAATTTAATAAATTAACTAGTTAGTAATGAATAGTTTTCAATAAAAAAAATTTTAAATTCAATTATTGATTAATAATATCAGTAAGGGGTTTTGTTGAGATTTTGGTTATTGAATTATTGAATTCATGAGTTCTTGAAAGTTAAACCACCATAAAAACCTGGAAGCACTGAATGGCCGTTTTATCCTAATGTGTTAATCCACTATGACACATGTGGAACTCGAACCCAGGACATTCGGTCTCACGGGCCAACACTCAGTCACTAGACCTATGAGCAGTCTCATACTAGGATGAAACAACCGCCCAGTGTTTCCAGGTTTTCCATGGTGGTCTAGATATAATCAATTCATCTACGATCTTGCACTACTGAGGAGTTCCATACTAGAACGTAACGATCGTTCATTGCTTCCAGGTTTTTAATGATGGTTTAGCTTAGATTGACTCATGAATGTAACTATAAATAATATATTATAGCATACTCTTAGACACATTAGAATTAGATGATGATATTATTATTAGTAGTAGAATATTATAGGCACAATTTACGGAAGCTGAGTAAAGTAGAAAACTGTTAAAGTTTGTAGAAACAATACATTTAAATATGAGATCACCAAATTTATTATCTAGTGGAGGAAAAATGTTTCAGATAGGTTGTAACAAATTTTAACTACGATGCCTCACTGAGAGCTTTCAGCTAGTATGTTTGTTAATAGTAAAAAAAGTCAGTATTAATATAGAATTTCGATAAAACTACATGTGTTGAAGAGTTTTTCATATCAAAATGTCAATGTGTCAGTTTTAATTATAGTGGTTCATTTGATAGCCATATTAAGTGAACTGTGCATTTCAACGAGTTACGAGTTTTACAAAAGTTTAAAAGGGAAGCCATTAATTAGTGTTGAATAAATTAAAAGGAGAGCACAAGTATTGTAACCAAAGTTTGTTCTCAGAATCGCGAATAAATTTCAAACATTAGGAATTCTATGTCTTATTTATTGGAACTCAACAAATACACGATTATTTTATTATTTTAAGATGAACATGATTGGAAAGTCATTGAAATAAAGTGTGTACTGTTTAGCTGATGCTTTTTTACAACTAAAATCATCTACTGATTATTACCAATCACTATAAACTAAATTGGTTTGTGATCATCTTATATTCAATCTTGAAATGCTTTGAATGAGCACCCGGAAGATGTAACGACATGTGATTTGAGAAGTCAATCAATTCGGTAGTAAAAGTATGAGTTATTGACAACGTTTGATAAATTCAATGTATTTAATACATTCCCGTTTCATATCATCAAATGACTCCTGGTTAGAGAACCAGTAAAAACCCGGGAACTATCGGGTAGCTCTCTCATGCTGGTGTTAAACTCCCAAAAAGTCCACAAACCAAATCCTATCAGAGATTATGTCTCTGAATTCGAAAACTTGCGGTTGCACAGTTTCCGAAGGTTAATAAACATTTCTTGTTACCCAAACTGAAATAAATAAGAAATTTAAATTCAGTGATTAGACAAAAGAACCTTTCAACCATCAAGTCAGCTAACAACTTTCTTACAAATGTAAATGTTGACAAACCCAAGAAACTGAGAACAACTGATCTCATCCGATACTATTAGAAAATTATGTTGAATAATAAGTGAACTAACAACTAAACTTTGACTTGATAATGTATATTTACCTTGCTCGAGAACAGGTTTTCAGGTTCTAGGTTTGGTTAGATGTAGAGTAGTATATTCGCATCACTAAAACGTTCCAAAATTCGAAATAAACATTTAACTAGTTCTCTTTGATCTTTCAGTGGACAATACTTCAAGATAAAAAAACTCCCGAACATGTATGTTTTCCTGTTTAAATGCCAAAATAAAGTTAATAAATAAAGTTTTCTAAATCAATCTAAACAGCGATTTCTCAATATTATTTTTTTAAAAAAACATAATGCTTCCAATCGGATAATTTTAACAGTTTACAGTTTCCGAATATATATATATATATATATATATATATACCTATGGTAAACATATAGAAAAGTAGCATATATCCTAATATGTTTTTTTCCATTTAAAACTGAAATATATAAAATTGGTTAAAGTTTCGTCAAATATCTATCAGCATCAAAGGGGTGGGGTTTATTTTTGTAACAGCGATTTCCTTTAATGCTTTTACTTAGATATATATATATATATCCAAAATTGTAATTTACATATTTACATTTGTTTTCAACCCCGTTAATTTATGAGTCTTTCAAATGGACTATTTTAATCTGTAACTACTTTACATTCAAACAAAAATGACGTAATATGATTAAAATTAAAATGATACTTTATGTCTCTATATAATATATAGTAGATTCGGTTCAAAAAAACGTTGCCAACACTTTAAATTCACACACAAAAAAAGGAATTTCATTTAACATAAGCCCATGAAAGAGATTAAATTTACTTTATTTTTAGATAATATTAAGTTTGAATTCATTGTATCATAACAACAACAACAAAACAGAAGAATCATCTAATGAATTTTCATTTGTTATGAACAAATTTTGATTGTTTATTTTTGGATGAAAGATAGTAAAGAAATTCAAAAAAGATCATTCATTTCTATTTGAGAAACATTGATTGGATATATCTGAATCTTTGTGTTGATAATAACATTGAGACTTGATCCCGATACTTTATTTCTCAAACGTTCGACTTTTTTTCACCGATTGAACTACGGAGTTTGATATTATTCATTATTGATTTGCAAAACTGAATTTTAATCAATGTTTATAGATTCTAAGAGGATTCTAAGAGGCTGACTAGATATTTATATTAAAATCTTAGACTTCTATTTATTTAGTCTAAACTCTTCATCTGAAAAAACCTGAATTCCAACTTCAACATTTTCAATGAAATAGGAGCACATTTACCATCATTTCCCGGATAATGCTTTGGATCGCTGTAATATATGTACTACTTAAACAACTAGTGAACTAGTATACTTAAAACTTTCTTTTATCACATGTTTGTTTTCTGCACGTTTAACGTTATTACTTATATCAAATTGATCATGCCTGTAAACTGGCGTGAATTCTGTAATTATTATTTTTCAGAATATAAATTAATTATTATTATTATTAAGCACATTTTTCAATTGGTTGCCGAGTCACAATATAGATAATTTATGGATGCATGGACAATTATCACTCATCTATAAACTATATTGATAGTTTTATTAGCCACCCGCTCAATGCATAACTTCTTTAGGATATGTATAATTTATGATACAATGCCCTATTTATTCATTTAATTACAGTCTGTTATACTGGAAATTTAAAACTTTCGATTAATACTGACAAAGTTTTCAAATGACATAACACTCATCTATTTAATTAAAGACTACAACTTTCAGCACGTGTACTAACTATGAATATGACTATAAACAAAGATGGATGTTGGTTAACAGTGGGATCCAGGATGCGCGTTTTGTCCTATTTAGGACTGATCAGCTGGATGCATCTGCGTGACTTGACGTTCACTCCGGGGCTCGAACCCAGAATATGATTATTCAGCTTAAGCAAATAAATTCGTCGTAAAGAAACTCCTGTAAGCTCATTTGTCCTTAATTCTCATCAAATGACACAGTGAGTATTTTTCAATATTATTCAAAGAAATGTTTTTTGTAGTTTCCATCTGTTTTCAATAACACTATGTTGTTCTAATCATTAGTTATGCAAATATCACGTTACTAATATTATTTAGGTAAACGGAATATACCCACTTAAAAATAACAAGATTCTTTCAACGAAGAGTTCTCTTTCCAAGGAAATCATTTTCAAAGATACACAATTATATAGGTTGTTTCACAGTCATCTTTCCTTTTATATTCTCGATAGACCTTTTACTCTCAACTGATTAGTTTCTGATTCTATGATCGTCCAGTTCGTAGTTCATCTCAATTTCAATAATTTAACTTATCACATCGAGTCTTTCATTTGCAACAATAATTTCTCTATGTCCATAATGAATATTCAGGCTCTCAACAACAAAATTATTATTAATTCCTTGAATAGAAATAAATTTTTTAATGTCTATTTATTTTATCTCATTGTTACCATATTTAGCAAAAACATTTTATTACTACTTATATCGAAAGTATGATCATTTTGTGATTGCACATGTTTGAAAATGAATTCCCCGGAAAGAAAATTCTTCATTGAATCAATCTTATTTTATATTAACACTGTTATTACCATTAGTTACCTAGTATATACTACTTGCCACATTTACAAATCACTTTACTAGGCATATATATATAAGTGTATGAATGACTATTTTATTCAATTAATTAGCTATTCAATTACACAATTACAATATCATTAGTTCTATAAGATGTCATTCATTGAAAATTACGAATTATTGCTTTCCTTTTAGCTA